GCAGCTGATCAGACCGTTCTTCTTTTATCCATTCACACGATATAACTACCCCGGAGGCTAGTGCTGAGATGAGCGAGGACCGATACTAGCAACAAGCTCGTAAACATGGGTTGTGCCATATCGTGCATATTCAGAATGAGAAACGGTTTGATCAGCTGTACGGGGGCAGAGTGAGTAGTATATTTGCGGTCTACTTATGAGGTCCCTGGTTTGATCCCCAGTTGGGTCGATGGATTCGCATTGCTGATGAGATCTAACCAGGTCGGGATCGGATTTTGAATAAAGTGTTTTGTTGCTGTTGCCCTATCGCATAATAGTGGATTCAATTTATTTGCCTTCACCAGGGAGGTCTGCAGTTTCACGAGGGCACTTCTGAGTGGTGCCCGATGAGGTGCAAAGTAGGTTTTAGGTATGACACTGCGTGTTTCCTCCTACATCTTTTCCCATCATGCTTTAGCCAAAACCGGCAATGCTTTAGTCCTTTAGTCTGGATGCACGAACTTTAGTCACCGCGAGTCAAATCAAAATGTCGGAATATTCTGAGGTCAGTGAATGTTGAAACCTTTTATCTTCCATAAATGTCAAATGCAAACTAGTTGCATGCTGCACCACATGTTGATTGGAGAAGGTTTATAAGATGTGCCCGTAGCGTTAAACCATTTGATACATCTCATACAGCTTCGGTGTTTCCTTACAACATGCGATATTTCTGCGAGTAAAAATCTCAAGTGAAACACAAACGGTACATACAGTATTTTGCATTCTCAAACCCTGAAATAAATCAAACCGTGATACCAGATAAAATGAAATGCTTACCCTCTCGTATCTCCAATTAAAGTGTTCTTGCTCTTTAGGTGTGGATACATTAATCGGTCGAGGAGAATATTTTGTGAATTTCTGGCTTGCTTCGGGCAAACCATCTATAGGCGATCAGTGACACATTATTGCTAGAGTTTCCTCCTGTTATCCATTTCAAAAGAAAAATCATACAAGTTATGTCCGATTTATGCCATTGAACTCCAAAGTTAACTCTCGCTTTTCATGTTGGTGAGGTGACACCTAAGCCGGCAGAACAAGAAAAACAGTTGCACAAGTGAATATCCAAACTCACTTAGAAATGAGTTCAACCAGAACTTGCTAAACTTATTTCCATGTTTGGATGTGAATATACGCGTCACCAACAGAGAACTCTCATCCCGGGAATCGGGAATGAATGAATGGTTTCCGGATCACGCACAAAGCAACTATCGAAAGACTGTCGAATCCCGTGTAGGCGATTGTGATCAAGCTTTGCCCCCCCCCCACAGGGTACCGACTAAGGAAACGGTGTATTGGATCTAGTCTACCTCACAACATCTGCGACTATTTGTTGCACCCGTTTCAAATGGTCATCAGTACAGTGTTAATTTCTATTTCGCCTGTTCGCCAAGCTTGGCAATTTGTTTGCATTCAGTTCACCCGAGCTACGAGAACCAAATTTCAACATTTTGTCAACAGTGTTATTTTTTGCCGTCAACACCAGTAGAGATGCAGCGAAAACAAAAGTTGGTCGGGGAGGAATTATCTAATTTTGGGCTATTGGTCTCCCTCTCTTTTCTCAAATCAGTGTTATCCTATTGCAGGAAGCGGTTTGGGCATGTGGGTACAGCTTATCAGCCACTGAGGCAGATACCACAGGGGTACACCAAAACGAAAAATAAAAGACTCATTATTGGGGAAAAAGTCGTAAACACCACGGATAGCTGAACGCTCCCTAGGAATCTAATCTCTGTTGGTGAAAAAATCGTGATACACATGGGAACATAAGCGCTACTATAGAAAAATCTAAGGGAAGGCAAAAGACACCCCGCTCATCGAGCAGATTCATCGAAGTGACATTCCAAGAGGCCAATATGTGAAAATGGGTTGTTGGGTTAAAACGAGCTTGATCGGTGGGTGAAACTGTGAAAAAAACATGACTTTTTTCAGGTGCTCAACGATGGACTAGTCTAAAGCCTTTTTGAGGAGGTCTGGGGGTTCATCAAGGAAAAATATGAAAAACTTTGGGATGAAAGAAGATATCACCCTTTTGATCTGCACCATGTTGTCTCAATTTCCAATCAGACGTGATTGACAATGCACTTTGAAAATCCGATGGTTTTATTGTATTCACATCACAGACAGTTGCTCTAAAGATTGAAACTTGGAGGTTAAAAATTAGCCACGGAGGAAAGTGAGTGAAAACAAAAATGCCAAGAACTCAAATCAAGTTGACCATCAGTCCTATTTGTGGCGCAAATAATCTCCCCATAAGGATATGAGATTGAAAAAAACATGCATACGAGTCCGAAAGGTTAAGTTCCGAATTGAATCGGAATGGTGATATCTCCCGATAGACTGACTGAGTGCCAACTGAATACCAAACGCGGTAAAAATATCGACATCGCTGTCTCACAGGTGCGTTGTTCGGAACACTATAATCCAGATTCCTTTCCTTGAGCGTGAAAGTGGAGGCAGGTTTGTGTGTGTGTGTGTGTTGGGGGTGTTTGTCAAAAAGACCGATCAGTGACAGTCCAGTTAAAGTTCCTACTCGGTCTAATGGTGTGTACGTTTACGTTATTCTAGACTGATTTTTTCGGTGCAGAATGGAACAATGAATGAAGCATGACAGGCACATGAAAAAAGCCACCGACGTGAAAACGGTCTGAATAAGTTTTTGTTTACAAACCACTCGGAAATAGGTAGATTTGGCGAGCACTGAAAATCAGATCTACTAGTTACACCTGTGGTATTTTTCTCTCTATACCACTCTGTTACGTAACAACTTTCACTGACATTTACATTCGCGTTGCTTATCATGCCAAGTGTTCATCTCCTCACCCCCTCTTTCGTCAAATGATTTATTAAACCGATTTGAGAAGATATTGGTGTTGCGTTGCCCATAGAGATTGGCAATTAGATTTCAATCGTTTATCAACTAATGTAACGAACACGTTTTACAAGGAGATGAACATTAAGATACATGAGATGATAATCATCGCCACCACAGGCAGCAGCAGCACCCAGTCTGATTGTTTCAGTCTGTTTAACACAGCCAAAATTAGAAATGTTGATCAACATGAAAGACGACTAAAGGTGATTCTTGTTCATATAGAATGTCCAATGGTGAAAACGGAGCTAAATATCAAATGTGTGAAGAGCAAGGAGGTTGTAGAAGGAACTGGAGCAGGAATTAGATTTGGCTTTGGGGATCAAAGTGCTAACTAATATGTTGATCCAAGTGAGATCAGACGAAACTTGACTAACAGAAGGTATTGATAGGTTCAATCAAAGTTCTATTTCTGTGGATCTTTTACGTTCCCAGTCCTGTGGAGCTATTGACTTAACCAGATGGAAAAGTACCGTATAGTGTCTTTTCCCATATACTCAATGTTCCTATTCTCCTGTGAGACGGTCAATCCACAATTCAGTCTGTTTACTAAAATAATGAATGCAGGTTTCTGAACTCAAACCACGTGGCAGACCAATGAGATTTCTTTGTTCCAATTCCGAATGACAGAACTGTTATCTCGGCCAATTCATCCTCAGTTTCTTTTCATTTGAATCCCTTTCCTGGGAACGGATTGGACTAGCGCCCCACCGATTCGCATGGATGCAGCTTATTTCTTTCAAGTGGAATCTCTCGGAGGATTGAATGACGATCTTGCCCGTCACATGCCGAACACAAGATATGCATCCATACATCATCCGACGAAATCTCAGTGGTCGAAACTCGTGCACGAATGGGGTATTTTCACACTCGTTTAATAAACATCGACAGGAAGTGATTGAGAGTGACTAAACAACTGCAGAATACGGCTTACAGGGAAAAAAGCGAAGGATTGTGTAGTATCAGATTCCCTCCGAATATATTCTCCTCTAGGACATGATGCTCACTGAAATTTTGATTCGCGGTTGGATACGGTACTATTGCAAACACAGTAATCAAGGCAACATAATATGCGTCATTGGAATTAGCCATCATAATGCAGTGTATTTTTTGTCTGGATATAATAATAACTAGCTTTTATTTATTCAAACGTTCTATTGATGGAAAAAGTGCGTCAGTCGCATCCAATGAAGACACGAGGACCATTCAGCTCCACTGCCACGGTGCGATATTGCGTCTATTCCAGTCCCCGGATTTGGACCTTACAACAGAACAGTATATTCTCGTGACGATAAGGGTTGTTCCTTTAATTGCTCATCAAAATAAGGCATGGAACGAGAAGAATTGGAGATTACAAGTAGTATGACCGATTTTAGTTCCCGGAGAGGTTAACTTGGAGTCGACAAGAAATCTACTGTCGTACTTTAACACTGTCAGACTGGCTCGTGGTTGGTGGTGGAAATACGTGAGTTCTAAGAGAGAACTCATCGTGCAAATGCAGCGTGAACTAAAAAGCTAGGAAGCACTGTACAGCTGTTTCGACCGAGTGGGTTGAATATTTGCGTTCTGCCTGTGAGGTCCCGGGTTCGATCCCCAGTTGTTTTGATGGATTCGCACTACTGACGAGACCCAACCCGGTCGAAACAGCTGCGCAGTGCATCATAGCTTTTCAGTTCACATTTCATTTGCTCTATACACGAGGAATTCCCCTATGAAACTGAATGAAATCCTCTATGGCTCTCATGAAATACACAATTGACAAAACCCAATAAGAGACAAAGTTCAATCTGGTGATTTCTTGTTGATTTGGCTGCGAATCATGCACAAAGATAAAGTGTGAATTTTGCTCAGTCAAAAGAGGAAATGAAACCTAGCCTATTATCAACAATTGAGGGTGAGTTTGAATCCAGTGATGAACCACTCTCAACACACAGAGCTCAATGTAGTGAAGGTGTTACACATAGACCATAGCTGACACAGTGTTTGGTAGTAAAACAAAATCATCTGAACTACAAAATTACCAAAGCATATCACCGATTGATTTAGTCAGAAAACGCAGTGTTTGTGGAAAAGTAGGCTTTCGGACAGTAACCTGTTATGAGCATTATGTAGTTTCACTGAAACAGGATGTTTCCCAATAAAATGACTGGAAGAAATAGATGCCCTGTTTTGTTCAGTTCGCTCATGTTGACAATTTATTCAACATTGCCTGATACCTCCTTGTACTTGTACTTTCTTATGGCGATCCACTTCCCCCTTACCTCATCCCCCCCCCTAAATGGTCAGTTATTCCAGGATCGTTGGTGTTACCATGAATAGTCAAGGAAAGAATAATTTCAATATTCTTATTTCAGGTCCATCGGTGTTCTTCTTCTACACTCACACATTCCTTTGCTTTCTCCCGATTCCAACTACCCTTACATGGAAAGTTGGCCTGTATGAAGCTCCATTTGGCCTATCTGCCACTAGATCGACAACTATCTATCGGTCGCATTCTTCAAATCCTCGAACTGATCACCCCGATCATGGTACTTGTTGCGAAGGACTATCACGACCGGATGTTTTCCGAGGCCACAATTCTGCCCGATTCCGTCGCAGGGTTGCGTAAACAAAGAGAGGCATTTTTTGTGGGGAAAGTGGAAACACTCCGTCAAGCTTTTCGAACAATTAACACTGTGGTATGGGAAGACTTGTTGAGCCGAAGTAGAGAGTATGTGCCATTGGTCGGAAACGGAAAGGTGAACGGTCAACCGGTCAGCCCAACACCACTCGAATTAGGCATTCCGCATTCCGTGTGTCTGTTCCCGGACGTGTCGAACCCGGTAGTTATCGTTCTGTTCACTTCTGGCAGGTGAGTGAGCATTCCTCGTCATTCATCAATGCTAGAAAAATATCGAAAAGTATGATTTTGTGCAAAATTGTGTGAAAGGGACTTCTGAATCCCCGAAAACGGAGCTAATAGTTGTGTAATCAAATGATTTTTTCACTGGAACAAAGGTTATCGAGACCGCTTGAATTTTTCGATCGAAACGGAGATTGCTACTCTACTCAAATTTAAAAAAATTGCAAAACATGTTCAAAGCATAACGATTAGTTTTCGAGACCCAAACACCTTTCTAAGGGTTCCTAAGAGATATTGAATTTAGGTAGAAAACCAATTTTCTATCAGAATTTGTTTCACCCAAAGGAATTAATTTTTAATTGTCTCTTGCACTGTTTTCTACATCACAAATCTAGCATTTTATTTGTTCTTTATCGAGTGTATAAACCCCATTTATAGTTCTCGTATGGGCACTTTTCGTAATTGCCGTGAGTCTAAATTGTATTATTTGCCGGAAAATTTCGCCCTCAGTCGTCACATCTTCCGAGTTATCGATTACCGAAACTAACATCTCTACATCATGCATCAACATGGTGCTTTTGTCTGACGCAGAAACCACAAGTGGCAGGAAAGACATTCTTATGACTGTGCCGGATACTAATATCCTGACGTTTGAAAGAACCGTCCTCAGTTTCTCGTTGGACTGCCGGGATGAAATGCGCTCATCACCTCTGACAGTTGTCTTTCGAAAATGTCGCAGGTTTTGAAGCACCGAACGACAGTAGAATCAGGCTTCATGTTTAGATAGTGTCTGGTCGATAATATGGCCTGGTAAAATCTAAAGGTTTAACATTTTGTAGGTTACCTCCATTATTTTTTTCCTGCATCCACACTTCTTGTAACCGTACGCGATTCTGATGATTGGTGAGAACCTGTTCAAACAAAGCATAATATAGGTGAGTGCAAGACTCATTGTTGACTCGAAATTCTTCGTTCTTCAGGTAGTTCCCTATCCAGTAGGTAAGACGTAGTATGGAACCGGATGACAGCAAAGCTGCCTGCCACCAAAGTTGGATAGTGGTGGCTGGGTTCGAACCTCGGATCGCAGGGTCCATAGCACGCTGGTGACAATGACCAAACCACTGCTCAATGACCAAACAGTCATTAATCATGAAACATTTGGTCAAATCTGCGTTTCGTTTGTGTACCCGAATCGAAATTTCGAATCACTATTTCTCCGAAAGCATGTTTATGTATTGTTTACTTTGACTTTGAATCACGTGCAATGGCCCGGATAGGTTATTCGATCCGTTGATTGGATGAGTATTTGGGATGAGTGGATAGTCAGTATAAGGACTGCATTAAGTCATCCGTCCTTGTTATCTCTTTACTGGAGGGAAGATAGAAGGAGATAGACTCCTGAGCCCTTGAGATTTGTGAAACAATTGATATGCGAGAGAGATCTGTCCGAATGATGATCCAATTAAGCAATGGGCTAGGCCACGTATTACTGCCGGACTGCTGTTTGCTCTTCACAGCCTTTTGTATGATATGTGAAAACGCCAAGCTAGTGAAGGGCCAGGAATGCAAAAGTTTATTATTGTATTCCCTCACCTAAAACGCTTCTAAAAGGATGCTACTGGGAAGATTTAAGTTGAACTAAAACACACTGAGCAACAAAATAGTGATATGCCAAGTTTTTGACCAAAGTAAATGAAAAACCGTTCATGTAGCCATTTATGTAACTTGACCCGGCTTTCAAAAAGATCTTAAATCGATTGACTGATTGTATTTGTGTGATCAATACGGAGAGGAAGTAGAACCGTTCTGTCAACGATACCGTGACTGGATTATTCACGGATCGTGTGTCATTCCTTGTAGGCAAATGGACTGAGTGAATTGGTGATGCCAAGTAGAGCTCAAGACAGGAAATGCTGTCACACTCCGGTACTGTCGCCAACAGTTGAGATGTGGTCTGAAACCAGATGCTCTAAATTGATTCATGGGGTCAATGCTGAGAAAACAATAGTGTGCAGATTAAGCTCATTTGACATACTCCAATATATACTACGATTTTGCCCATCCAAAGGTGTAATGGAACAGTCAGAACATTGCTACTGGTCGTTTGGCACAACACTGAATAGTGACTTTTGGAAAACAACCTCTCGAAGTCAAATGCATCGATTCCTTATGCTCAGTATAGTTTGTAAAACAAAGATCGCAATTTTGAATCACAAGATATTTTGATGCAACCCAAATAGACCGTACAGTTTCTCCTTTTTGGGAGTACTCGCCAACTGAGTGAGAAATACGTTGTCATAACTGAAATTCTTGTTCTGACAAGAAACACAAACATTTCACTCGGATCATGTTTATCACTACTGCTTATCTCGCTGTGAAATTCCCCATAAATCGTTTGACCAAATTCGGCATATCCAACAACCCTCGTAAATCCTTAACCGCTTCCCAATCTCCGCGCTTGTTCTTTGTGAACATGGACGAACTGGTTATCACGTCAGCGAAAAGAGGACCATTACACAACGCAATGATCTAAGCGATACCCCGAGCAAATAGGTCCTGATCCATCACGAAACAGCGAATGATGGCTTCATGCGAAAAATGTACGTTGCAGTTGGCACATTATCCAAACAGGGTTGTCGCAAACAAATGGGAATGACAGTTGACGAATAAAAAAATCAACTTCATACTATACTGACCTAATTATCTTGTAAAACTATCTCCTTGCTTTCGCCTTTTTCCATCATTTATGGTTTCGGCATCATCTCACAAAACGATCCTTAGTTGAATATGTGAATCAAATAATCCATTTGTTTCTCTTGTAACCGAATAGCTGTTTTAACTGTTTTTGAAACTGATCAAATGTACGTACATATATGTACCCGAGGGGATTCAACCCACGAACCTAGAAGTCCTGACAAGCCAGAAGCCACTTTGCAATGCTTCATGCTAAAAATCCGCAGCACAGAAAGATTGCGATCATAGTCAGATATTCCTACAATTTCTAGTTCATCAAAATGGAAGTGCAACCATGGCCACTACCACCACCACATGAAACAAACACAAGGCAATTTTTGTTTTTGTGAGATCTTTGAGAAGAAAGATAATAGTACTAAGAAATCAATCTTCCCATAGATAGTTGAGCTTGTCTGAGGGTATTCATCAAGAGCCTTATTACTGTTTGATGGAATCATTGGACATTTATGATGTTTGCAATCCTCGTGGACTACAAATCTTGGGAAAGTTCTGTCTTCAAATGTTTTAAAACGGAGTAATGAAGTTTTTGGTTTGATCAGTTGTTGATAGCTTGTCTATGAGAAAAAAGCAGTTACGTTCACGACGTTTTCGATCGAGTAAGAACGCACGAATGAACGAGTATAGTAGTTGATCGACAAAGATTAAAATTTGATTTGTGATAGGTCATCTTTTGCAGACACAAAGTGAAAAACGTCCTAATAGGTTACCCATTGGTCAAGTAGGCAGAATCCATGTATTCAACCAACAAGGTTCGATTGCGATCCTCACCGGGGTCAGTAGTTTCGCACGGCTGACGAGGCCCAACAAAACTGACACAGCTGCTTTCCGGTTTCATTTCGAGTTCATATTCGTGAAGAACACACTGTTTATAAACATCAGTGAAAATATGTAGCAGTGGCAGATTTGTATACTGAAATTTCAAATAGTTTATTACACTATATGACGGAGAAGTGACAAATGACTGGAACTATCCCCACTGATGGGGTTCATTACATGTTTTGTTTTCCCATTTTCAGTTCTACCTCAGGTCAGAAAGTGGTCAGACTCCGCCAGAGTCAGCTGTACAATCGACTACGTTGGCAATGGAGCAGCGGCGTGGAGTGGGACTCGCAGAAACAGTGGATCTATCGAACGAGTCAGCCACAATTGAAAAAAGATGAAGTCAGTTTGGCAAGTACAGCGTGCGTTTTCGTTGACGCGTTCACCGAATTGTTCAGTGCTCTGTTCCACGGGATCCCGGTAGTCGTACCCGGAGGTTCGATCTGTGCTAGTGAAGCCTGTGTTTCCGATGTACGAATCCTAGCCAAATTGGTTGACGTGTTTGCTATCACCAGAATTACCACTGTTCCCGTTCAGTTGAGTATATGGATTAATCAACTTCGCCTCATATCTTCCACTGATAGAGCTCGAGATTTCCGTTCGTTGCGAACCGTGGTTGTGAGCGGAGATATCCTGCTACCTCAACTGGCACATGAATTCTTTCAGCTATTCGCAGAACACCCTATTCGTTTGCTGAACTTTTACGGTACGACTGAACTGGCCGGTGATGCCACTGCCGCAGTTTTTCACGGCAAGCAAGACGTGTCTGAAGCCACAAGACACGTGGATGCGAAAGACCAGGCTGACAGTTTGCTCGAGGGAGCTCCATTCGTGACAGTTGGCAGGCCTATATCAAATACAACAATTTACATTGTTCGGCGACGAATCGATGGCGAAGAGAATCGTGAAAGTGGACAGCGACATGACAGCGGCAGTCTAACGATGGTAGTATCTGAGAACACTGACCCAACGCGTACCCCTAATTTGTCCATTCTCGGTTCAGGCGATGGGGATCAGATTGACTGGGAAGCCGAGGGATACGGGATTTGTGAAAAAGGTTGCGTCGGAGAAATAGCAGTAACCGGTTTGGCTGTGTTTGATAACTCCTTAAAACTGTTTGACTTGTCCAATTCAAATTCCAAAACTGAGGAAAGCAATGCACATCATTCACGTGACTCGAAAGAGTCATCACTGATCAATTTTCCAGGAGATTTGGGATTCATCTGCCCCAAAGACGGTCTACTTTACGTTTGTGGGCGATCAGACGAATTAGTGAAAATTAATGCGGTTGGATTTCTGGCCGGTGATGTGGATCGTTTAATTGATCGAATGAAACAGTCCTGTGCACAGAATCCACATCAGATGTCAACTGCTGAGCTCAAATTACCTCGGATTCGACAGACCGTGACCATCCCGATTCGTCACCCGGTGAATAAGAACAAACAACTGGTCTGTTTCTACACCACCGGGGAATCCGACTCATTGCCAACAAATCAAACTTTGAACTCATACGGAATACCGAGGGACCTAACCCAGCCGATTGATTTGAATGTTGGAGCGGACAGTGAAGATGGTCTAGTGGGGGTGTGTGGGCCGTCACCAATCGAACTCTCCGGTATTTTATCCAACTATCTACCGGTCTATATTAGACCCATTTTTGTCCATGTAAGTTGTGCTTATTGACTCAATGAATGACTGTGCTGGGTGGTGATATTGAATTATTGATTATTTACGTATGTGTAGGTTGTGTAAGTTGTGTAAGTTAGTAAACTGAAGTCACTTGAAATAACTATTAATTGGTTCTAGAAAAGGGCACATCGCCTACCAAAAGCTGCATCTTGGAATGCAAAAAGTGCTGATCATCAAATAAAAATGAATGAAACTATTTACTTGGGGTATTGTGATGTGCATACACTGCATTGTACGAGTCTGGTCGGGCAACCAGACAAGCAGTGAATAGTTTAGCGGCAGAGTTTTAGAAAAAGACAATGGAACAAGTGTTGGATTTAAATCAATTACGTTGGATGTGGCGTGTTACAGATTTCACGTGATAGAATTCCTTAATTTGCTATGTTTGACAAGGTGGATTTTTTGGTGAAAAATGTCACGGGTGGTCAAATTAAGATCGGGAATGGGATTATGAGAACCCTGACCAGGATACTTGGTCATTTGGGTCGCATGATGCTATCCACTTGGGTAACTCTGAGTGGGTGTTATCATGGGTTAAACAAACCGATTTATATGATTGAGAGTCATGAAAAGTAGTGTTTGCGCATCTACTTAATGTCCTTGCAACGTTAACCTATCGGAATTCCTCATTCACATATCGATATTGTTTTCAGCATCTTAGTTTATATCTAGTTTATATCTAGTCAATGGGATATTATTGCTGTTACAGAGACTTGGCTCACAACTGATAT